TCTCTCTCTTCTTTTAATATTTATACTTACTTTTACAAAAAATTAATAATAAGTTACATCTTCATGAGAATGTAAACAAAAACACGCATATGTAACAATATTTTGTCAATTAAACAATATATAAAAATGGAAACAGAGAATTATATATATCACATTTGTTTAAACAAAAAAATATATGTTTTCAAATCTTATCAAGTAAATTATATACTCATTTTAACCAAAACTTAATAATAAGTTATATTTTGATGAAAAAATTAAAGAAATACACACATAAATAATAATATATTTGTCTATTAAATAAAATATAACTATTGAAAGAGACAGAAGAAGCATTTGACAATCGATCGACTTTGAAAAATGAACTATATGACTTTATATATTGAACACTCTCTTCTTTATAATATATATGTCTACCAAATAGAATAATTTTTATATAGTAAAAGGTCTGAATATATACTTGATCGAGCAATACTAATTATTTCTTAACAACATTTTTATTCACCCCGATTAAGTGTAAACATATATTCATGTTCTACCTGAAATTTCTCAAATGAAGAGAAATCATATATTCATGTATAATATTTTATATTTTTTTTTAAGTTCATATTAAAATATTTGCTCTAGATAATTTTGGTTGAGCAAGCTAAATTGAGGTCATAAATTGTATGCTAATAAGTTTTCTTTTCATATTTACAGTTATCGTCGAGAATTATACATCAAAATTTTCAAAATGACTTAAGCATGATTTTTTATGAACTTGACTTCATACCTTATGACGAGATACAAGTTACCTTAAAAATGACATGTGTAAAAGTTAAAGAAATCTTTGTTGAGAATATACAATAAACATCACGTTTATTCAATCACTAACTTAGGAATTTATCAAATAAAGGTTAACAATTTTCATTAAATAGTTGAATATCTTTTAGAATGAAGACAAATCAAAATTCGAGGATCGAGACAATAAATAAACATCAGTTTGTTGGTTGAGATATCTAAACAAAAAACTTTTATAGTTACAAGAATCTAAATCAAGGTATTAGTTTGAACCAAAGAATCTCTAATAATGATGAGTTTAATAATGCAATTGTAATAAGTCATTTGGTTATATGGTGTCAGTCTGTAACTCCATGGCAACTTTTGGCAATAACTAAAACCTTTTCGACATCAAAGTCTCAAATTGAAAATATTTTATTTTGTAACCGTAAGCAATTTCTATTTACAATAGATTCGTCTACAATACATCCAAGATTCAAATGTATGTGATATGTCACATGTTTATATAAATTCTTAAAATTTATAAAAGAATTCAAAAAATTGTAAAGCATCATTGTCAATACTTAATATTATAGGAATTTAAAACTAAATTATTGTCACATCAGCGCATGGCTACCTCTCACCCTTCCACCGTGGACAAGTTTTGATTCTTGCTTCTCTACATTTTTGTTTACTCTTTAAATTGCCATCATTATCAATAAAATGTAAATTAAGTTTATAACAAGGAATTCAACATTTTGGGTTGCTCCTATACCTTTGCTCTTACAAATCTCTCTATAAAAATAAATCTCAACATTGAAAATAAGAAAATAAAGAAATTGGATCAAACCCCATAAAAACAAATACACCTCTTTCTTATTTGCTCAAAATGTTGAGATTTCTAGCATTTCTCTTCTATATTTTTTGGCAAATAGATACACGAAAGGAAATAGTAAGGCATATGGAGTTTTTCCTCTTTGTAAGAGAATATGAGGGTGGAGTTACATGATGCAATGATTAGATGGGAAACAATTGAGCAACTTTAACATATCTTTGACTATTTATAAAAAAAAAAAAATCATCTTATCATTGCGATTTGCGAAGATGAATCGAACGAATCTGAGGACATTGCTCCCTTTTACCCCTTGATCTCCAGCTAACAACTGGTCTCTTTTTCTTATAGATATGTGGTTGTTTGCGGTTGACTGGCTAGGTTAAAATATTATTTCCAATTGTTTATTAATTTCTTCAAAATGACAAAGCTGGATAGTATTTTCCATACTCAAATCAACAGATGTATTTATTCTTCGATTTTCAAGTAGTCATTTTATGGTTCTCTATGATGTCATATACTTTTATGTAAACATGTAATAGATAATTGGAAGGGTTTATTGCTTGGACGTAGAGTATCGCTCCTTTGGTTGAATAATTGATAGATTTACTTTCCTATTGCAACCCGATTCCATGGATGATAAAACAGAAAGCAGAGTTGTTAGGGTTATAAGTAGAAAGGAACACATGTGAGGTTTTATAAAGGTGCGAAGAAGAAAGAAAATGGTGATGGTGGTCTCTAAGTTGTCTATGTAGACGTTCTTTCAATTTCTACACGTTTTTAATGATATATGTCTGTTTTCTTAGCGTACATTTTGGCCTAATTGAATCCCTAAGTAAAGCTTGATTTTGGTCTGATCGTTTTATTAACAACAACTATTTGGATTGATGCATCAATCGTGTTCATGAATGAGGACTCTGCAAGATACAATGAGTTGATTTTTATTGAAGTATGCAGCTTTTACAATTTATCTATGTTGTTATTAGGTAAAAAAAACACCATTATTTTTTGTAGAGGGTATGTAGCTCTCTATAAAATATAAATTGTGTTTATATGTAGTTTAGTTTGTTGAAAAACATTGTTTTGATAAATTAGTGACAACTGATAGTTCTATTTTGGGTTGTTTTTGCTGGAGCATTTTAAAGATAAATTAAACGAAAAGGCAGAAAATTGATGATGTGGATGCTAATGCGTATCCTCATTCTTCCAAAATTGCACAAGTAACTCATAGTTCACGATGTTCGTGGGATTTAGAGCTAGAGTGTGATATTATGTATTATCATATACCAACATATAAGAAGGGAGGAAAAAAGTAAAGCTCTTCGCTTATTTTTTAGTACTTGAAAAATATTTGCTTATTAATTTTTTTTAACTTATTTGTCACTATTGTGTGCTAAAAACTTAATAATCTATTATGTTTATATCCTAAATTTTGGATTCGATACAAACTTATAAATCAATAAAGAAAGGTCTACCGAGAGCATTTAATAAAATTATATTTTCATAAATAAACGAAACATATAAAAATGCATAAAATATCTAAAATCAAGTAAGTGAGATTAAAAATTCAATATATAATAATTTAACATACATGAATCATAAAAAATATTAGAAAAAATATCAAACACAACTACGAATGCGCCGCCCAACGGACGGGTAATAAAGCTAGTATATAGAAGAGTAGTTCAGTTATTATTAAATATTCACCATGGTGATTTTTATAGTGTCTTTGGTGGTGAACCTATGCCTTTAATGTTGTGTCAAGGGCTCCAAGCCTTCTTACAGTCAACTTTAAGACTCATTGTTAGCATTTAATGTAGCGTCAGACTCGGTTGGCATGACTCTACTCCAAGGCATTTGGCCACCTTAGCTAGGGGTGTGCAACAGTTTGGTCCGTTGCGGAACACACCAAATCAAACTGATACTTGGATCGGATCACACTGAAACCAATTATAATATGGAGATGGTCCAGTCCTTGATAGCATTATTTCATAATTAATAAAAAATAATCGAATTGACATTTAAATTAGACAAAATCAAATTGAATGTAATATTGATATGGTATTTTGTGCTAAGATGTCTTTCACTATTGAACTGCAGTTCTCATGAATTTGATTTAGTCCAACAAACTGGACAGAACCGTTGCACACCTGACACCCCTAGGCCCTAACCTTAGCTAGGTAAGTTATCGCTCTGCAAACATCTGAGGTGGTTTCAGCTCCTTATCGCTAGGAGCTCTCAACCTTTAGTTATTGGAGAAATTTTACGATGTTATATAGTACCAATGTTATAGGCTTTTGCTTTTATGGTACAACTTCAAATTATACCTATACTTTTTGTACAAATTCTTTTATGGTACAACTTGAACCTTTATGTGATGATACAACTTCAAGTTGTAAAGTTGTACAATAACATAATAGTACAAATTGCTTTATAGTACAACCTAAACTTATACATTAATATTATGGTACCACTTCAAGTTGTATATTAAAGTACCAATACTATATAGCATAATAAAAGTGCACTGGTTATTGGGCTTGAGTCATTATGATTTTCAATGGGAGCCCAACACTAAGAGGATCATTAAATAAGGCAAAATCTACATTGGGTATATTCCTTACCATGATTGGTTCATCATCTCTTTTTTCCCCCTATTTGATAATCACACCTGTATTTTATTTAATAGGCCGCAGACTGTTTGACCAAAATGTCTAGCAAAATTTGTTCATCCCAACACTAAGAGGATCGTTAAATATGGCAAAATCCACTTCAGGTATATTTAATGCCATGATTGGTTTATCATCTCAAGGTTTGAACAAAATTTGTCCATCCTCTCTATTCATGAACAACATTGGTTTAGATGAGAATAAGAATGAACATAATTTAATGAGTGTGAATTACAAGAGAAAGTGAGACCAGAATTCGACAAAATATCTGCTATCGCAATTAATAGATAAAATTTTTGGACCGAAACTATTTAACAGTAGCTTAACTAGACTCATTGGACGCCTATCTAGACAGTGCAAGCTTCCCTGCCGTTGAGACTCGGTGTTGCTTAGAGCTTCTCTTCCTTGGGAGTTTCTTTAGGGGAAACCTTGGTTTCTAGTTCCTTTGGCGTTGCCTTATCAGCCCTGAAAAAGTAACACAAATACCCTTCAATAAGTTTCTCTTTACATTAACTCAACTCTGTCAATAATAAGTAGGTCAAATTAAGTCCTGTAGATTAAGAGACCCCTAGTACATATAGTAGACTGTAAAAGCTAAAAGAAATGCCGGGCAAAATCACAATCTCTCCATGAGTCCCGTTTCCATATGGATCAAACAATCATATGAGCAACACAATAGCAGTTGGGCGTAATCTATTCAAGTTTCACTGCATGACGGTTTATTACCTAAACTTCAATAAAACCAACAGCCGCCTAAAAGTGTGTTGTGCACCTTCATCGGAACAGAATTAAATAGCAAAAACTGGATAATTAATCAGTTCAAGTCCCCCAAACACTAGGCTATTTACAGTTGGTAGGACTACGCTTGTAGAAGTCGCTAGTAGAGAGTCATTATATAGCTATTGACTATATGCTAATCACCAAGCATAGAGAGGAATAGAAACTAAAGACAATGATCAAATTACTTCCAGATTGTCAAAGAGTTGTTCTTCCCACCATTTCTCCCCTAAAAACAAAGATAATCCTAACCTGATCCTGTTATGACCCTAGAAAACCAAAATTGCAGAACATAAGATATTCAAAAAGGTATAATTACTTGGACCTCGAAAGGGTACCAAATCGCCTGATAGAAAGTAGGCTCCTGTAGCCACTTCTATGAAAGCAAAAGGGGCAAAACGCAAACATTCAAGCAGCCATCTCCCCAGAGAATGCCTTACTATGAATAACTACTTCTTTCCCATCTTCTCTTTCTAAACCTCGCAATTCGCAACAGCAATCCATATAGTGGGAAAATGAAAAATCCACAACATAACTCTGTCCCTCCATAACATAGACTGGGCAGAATTATGAACACATCCGCTCCTATGCAAAAGGGTTCTTTACTTACCTCTATGTATTTCCAAGAGCTGCTGTAAACCCTCTAAAAGAAGCAATTGAAAATACAAGGTAGCCAAAGCCTCTAAGCACCATTTATTCTACTTGCGCCTCTCAAACTCTCAAGTCTCAAGTAGAAAGAAAGCAGCACAATGAGCCTACATTACTTAGCTTGCTCCCAGAACAGAAATTTCATCTTCAAAATCACAAAAGAGATGGCGTGAAAAGGCTCTTCCAAATCCCTAACAATCCAGAACCCATCCATTCAAACCGCCATGCCTCTATTGAACTAGCATATTTCCCAGTAAGAAAGCCAATTTCGGAGGAGAGAAATTGGAAGCAAAATAGATTCACATTCAGAAATTGGATTCAAAATCGAAGTTCAAACAAACGGCGTAAAATTAACGTGGGAAATCGAACTTTTCCCCCCGCCGAAAATCGAGAGGCTTACTTGGAAGCGGCAGCAGATTCTTCTTCGAGCCAGGTTCGGATGTGCTTGACGTTGCGGCGGAGGATGACGGCCGACTGCTTGACGTCGCTCCTCAGAAGGAGAACCACCGCGCTGACGCCGGCGATGGTAAGGATGAAATTCGTCAATCCCATTTTCGTCCCGCCACTGAGAAATAGTCTATCTCTGGTTCGCCGTTCGCCGATAAGGTCCGCGAGCAGGCAATGACGGAAGAGAGGGAGGGTTTTGGGAAGGTTTTTGTTAGCAACGCACGCAGATGAGTTATGTATTAGAGATAAAGAATAAATATTCTTTTATTTGTATTTACTTTTAATCACTACCACGGGACAAGCTACGGTGCTAATCCTATAGGGGTCAGCACCGTCCTAATAGTCGTGGTAGTGTTTTTGCATGGAAGTTTTTTGTAGTCTTTTTTTATTGATCGCCTGTGTTGTTAATATGTAGGGTCTGTAGTAGTTTGATGTGCAGTCGTGTGGTGTTTGTATGAATACGTGTGTAGCGTTTTTGGGGTTAGCATGTGCTAACGGGGTATGGGGTTAGTATCCCATCCCACCCCCACTACCACTTGTCATACGCCCATGTACAACCACTTCTCCACCTCTCCTGTAAACTCTCCCTAAACTTCTGAACAACTCTTCTCCCATACACCAAGAGATAGCTTCCCTTAGGACAAGAGTTTCCACCACCAGAGGATCATCAACAGACCGAAATTGGATTCCTTTAGCTAGAATGACGTCCTTATACGGTCCAAGAAGAACTATCCCGCCGCCGAATGAGACCCAGCTCTCGTAGCCCCATCCCACATACACACCACCGAGGTACCCGCATGAAGCCCAACTGAGTGAGAAGTAGGACGTATACCCAAAGTCACACTTTCTGCGGGCAACCGTTCCCATTCCTCACATTGTGGGTCCATCCACCTTCATACCAAATTTGGCGGTGTAGCAGTCATCCTTCACATCCCAGAGTTGCACCCGAAATGGGGCCATAGCAAGCTCCTCATACGTCTGCTTCGTTATCGATGGTGTCCAAGATCTAAGATGGATGATCATATCATTCACCACCCATGGAGTTCTTTTCAAGACCCATATTTTGGACTCCTCGTTGGGGAGGACGAATTCAAATAAGCCATACTTGGCTTGCAGCACTTTGATCCTCCCTTTGCATTTCCATGGGGAGTTCACCCAATCTCGAATTTCAGCAGCCGAGAGCTTTGCCGTCGTGAAGATGCGGCCGAGGAGGGTATGGGAGCGTCGAACTTGCACGGATTGAACTTCATCCAGGGAGAATTGCACAACTTGATCCTCACTCACGTGCGTCGCCATGCTGCTCTACAGTGAGAAAGATGGTGCAATAAAATTAAATGAAACCTGCCTAGATCGCCCCGTTCGTTCCAACGAGTTACATAGTTTAGTAGCGGGGTGCTGGTCCCCTTCTTCCTTATCATGGAAGCAAAAAACCTCGGAAGCAGACGCAGATAGGGGGTAGGTAGTACCTGGGGGAAGAGGTAAGCATGTGCCGATGAATTTTTCTCAGGAACTCGTGCCACTATTTCTCATCGTAAGCCGCTCGCTAGGCTGCCAATGTGTAGCGCTGCGGAGGGCCGAGGTGTTTAAATAGGAAGGATTGAGCGAGAGTTTGTGCCCAGCTAAATCTCCTTCCACCAGGATTTCTTTCATAACACGGTTTTGAGGATGATGATAAGGGAGAATCGGCTCCGTATCTCCATCCCCAGCCAGCAGATTCAAAGTATTTATCTTATTAAAAATAAAAATAAAATCCAAGTTGTTGTTGCAGCGGCGGATCCTACGGGGCGAAATCCCTCCCTTGCACACCGTGAAATCCAGAATCCTAGTCCCCATGAATTCCAGGACGGTACTGCGCCACCGTAATTGATTTTGCTGGGGCTCGTTCTGCCGCCGCGATTGTTCCCTCCGGTTCGGATTACTGTCGGGAATCAGCCACTTATGTTGATGGTACTCCAGCGCCGCCATGGCCGTCTCTCTCTTCTCCGAAGCGTTAGGACACAGGCATTCGATGGAGGGGGGATTGTCCATCAGAACTCTCATCGTACTTTCCTTGGGAGGATCGCGAGTCGATTGGTACGAGGGGATGCAAACCACGTTCGTGCATTCCAGCTCGTCCAGCAATGGGAGTTTAAATCTCCACATCATCTTGCGCAATGTGTTGCGATTCTTCTTCTTACAGGAGTGGTTTATATCACACTCCGCCATATAAATCCCAGGCTTACGTTTCAAACTCCTGCTTTGAGAGAATGCACGGACATGGTTTATATCACACTCCGCCATGTAAATCCCAGGCTTACGTTTCAAACTCATGCTTTGAGAGTATTGCTTGTCGCGCCGACCAGAACAGTCAATTCCATTCCCAGGTTCATCTCGACTGGAATAAAACGATGGCGTTATTGCCTGATCCGAAGGTGTTCCCTTCTTGCACCATCCCAGAGCTTGATTCTGAATGCTCGATGTCAGGAATCCTTGCACAGCTACGAAGAGCAGCCTGCCGAGCAGATGACAAAGGCAGAGGAGAGAGGAGAAAACACCTCTCAACATTTTTTTTTCAATACAGAGATACGATAGAGATTACAATTCAATTCTCTTCTCCATAATCTTTTATCTCTCACATGGTATCAGAGCCTTCTGTGACATAGAGGTCTCGTTTTCGATTCCCGGTGGGCCCCAATTGTTGAGCACATGGTATTCTTGTCTTCAGACCTGTGCAAACTTCAAGTCCTTGTGAGTGGCTTTCATTTGAGGGGGCGTGTTAGTGTTGTGGTATATGATCCACGATTGAACCTCTCCCAACAACTCGAGTTATTGGGATCAACTGGTTCTTGACATGGTATCAGAGCTTGTTTGGCCAAGTGGTCGTGTGTTCGAATCTCCACGACCCCTAATATTAACAGTTGTCTTCAAGCACATGGTATGGTGGGCCTGTGCAAACTTCAAGCCCATGAGTTGGCTTTTGTTTGAGGGGGCGTGTTAGAGAGTGGTATAAGATGCAGCATAACCTTCTCCCAACAACTCGAGTTATTGGTACCAACTGGTTTATGACAAGGAACATTATGCTCTTATTTAGAATCACACCTGGGATTTTGTTCCCCGCCATCCGCACTATAATGTTCTTGGTAATAAATGGGTATATCGTATCAAGCATCACTCTGACGACTCTATCAACCAGTTCAAATGTCGGCTTGTCGCGAAAGGCTTTCTTCAACGCCCCGGCGTGGACTTTCATGATACTTACAGTCCGGTGGTCAAAACTGTTACGGTTCGCACGGTTTTTACCATCACTCTCTCCCAAAATTGGCTAATCCGGCAATTTGATGTGAACAACGCCTTTCTTCAAGGGCCTCTTGACGATGAGGTGTACATGGTTCAACCGCTAGGTTTTGTTGATCCCAAACATCCTCATCACGTATGTCGTCTTCGTCGTGCCATCTATGGCCTCCGTCAGGCACCCCCTGCTTGGTACACGACATTGAGTTCATTTCTCTTCGACTTTGGGTTCTGGAGGACGCAGTCTGATGCCTCCCTATTCGTATATCGGCGTTTTGGCGTTCTCGTGTATTTTTTGGTCTACGTGGATGACCTCTTACTCACAGGGAATGACACCGCTACTCTCTCTGCCTTCCAACTTCCATTGGCCGCTAAATTCTCTCTCAAAGAACTTGGTGACGTCAACTTTTTTTTAGGCATTGAAGTCATTCCCACCACTACAGGTTATGTCCTCTCCCAACACAAATATATGACGGACATTCTCACTCGGTTTCACATGTTGGATGCTACTCTTGTCTCCACTCCGATGGCTGCCACCGCCACTCTCTCCCTCCGTGATGGTTCTTCGCCTACGGATGCGACCCGGTATCGTCAAGTTTTAGGGGCGCTACAGTATCTGGTGTACACTTGCCCAAACATAGCCTTCGCTGTCAACAAACTCTCTCAATACATGCATGCCCTTTCTTCGTATCATTGGCAGTGTCTCAAGCGTCCACTCCGCTATGTTTGTGGGACCATCTCTTATGGTCTTGCTATTCGGCGGGCATCCCTTCCCTTGCACCTCACTACTTTAGTCGACTCTGATTGGGCTGGCAATCTAGATGATTGCACCTCCACCTCTTCCTCTCTGCTTTACTTGGGCTCCACCCTCATCTTATGGCGATCTCAAAAGCAACGGACTGTTGCTCATTCCAGTACAGAGGCTGAATATCGGGCAATCGCTCATGCCACTGCTGAGTTAGAATGGGTTCGCAATCTTTTGAGTGAACTACATTAACCATTGACTACCTCTCCTACTCTATTCTTCGACAATCTTGGTGCCACCAGCTTCAGCTCAAATCCTCGCTTCCATTCCCGTATGAAGCATTTGGCACTCGACTTCCACTTTGTTCGTCAACTAGTCCAAGCTGGCCCCCTCAACGTTCACTATATACCCAACGCCCAGCAGCTCGCTGATGCTCTCACCAAACCACTTGCTGCTCCGCGGTTTCATCTTCTTCGATCCAAGATTGGAGTCTTTGACACTACCTCCATCTTGCGGGGGCGTATTAGAGATAAAGAATAAATATTCTTTTATTTGTATTTACTTTTAATCACTACCCCTTGTCATACGCCCCTGTACAACCACTTCTCCACCTCTCCTATAAACTCTCCCTAAACTTCTGAACAACTCTCCTGTAATTGTGTATATAGAGATGTGAAATCCTCAATACAGAGATACGATAGAGATTACAATTCAATTCTCTTCTCCATAATCGTTTATCTCTCACATTATGCAGCTTTGGGGAAGAAGCTACCTCGAAAAACGACAAATCACAAATGCCTTCACTAGTAGTAACTAGTCAAACCGGTTTATATCAATACAACGCATATAATCAACAAGTCAATCGGTTTATATCGGTACAAGCTAAGTGAAGCATATGGTTCGGCCGATATAACCGGCTTGCGTCACTTCATGCTTATATCACTAACATCAAATGAATTTTTTTTATATATATAACATATTTAAAGCAAGGATTGACAAATCGTATCGAACCAGTGATTTTACCAGAAAAACCTCATAACGAAAGCAAAATCAATAAGCGGTATTTAGCATTAAGAAACAGTTGAACCAGGTTCAGCATAAAATACTCTACTGGTGACTTTTCTAGTATAACCTTCGGTACGGTTTTTCAATCATTGATTTTAAGACAAGTTACTTGCAATCCATATTTAGGTCTAAATAAAATACAGAATTTCAAACAAAATAACAAATACTC